TGACTGGAAGCCTTACCGACAACATAAATGGTCAATTAACACATATTTGGGGTATTATACGTATTAGACAGCGAATTCGTACAATAAAATAAGCTAGAGAAAAGAAAATGTTATTAAGAAAATCCTAAGGAAGAGAAAAGACATTTACAGTACTGTACTGTATGTATTTTTTTTTTTTAAACCCACATATAGATAGGGGCGCCTGGGTGGCTCAGCCGGTTAAGTATCTGACATCTGCTCGGGTCATGATCTCCCCATTCAGGAGTTCGAGCCCCAAGTCCGGCTCTGTGCTGACAGCTCAGAGCCTGGAGCCTGCAGCCTGCTTCAGATTCTGTGTGTGCCTCTCTCTCTCTGCCCTTCCCCCACTCATGCGCACGATCTCTCTCTCTCCCTCTCTCAAAAATAAATAAAAACATTTAAAAATCCACATATAAGTGGATCCATGCAGTTCAAACCCGTGTTGTTCAAGGGTCAACTGTATTTTCTTATAAAATATAAACGATGGGTCAGGAGAATTGTCCTGTTTTGTGAAAGCATGCTACTTGATAAGACTCAAGGGACGTGACGTTGGAAATTGAGGGAGAAGTCCTCCAGAGCAAGAGTGAAAACAATAGTTAAGCAATAAGCTCAGGGAGTCTTACCGGATCAGAGTGAAAAATACTGTCCTTGAAGAAGCCTAAGGAAGCGCACACTGTGAACAGGGAAGGAGTCCAGGAGAGGAGCCTTGCCAAAGACTCATTTGATCGACACTGAGAAACTGGGTGTGATTTAGAATCTCCATTATCCCACGGGTGGGGCTTTTCTGGAGACGGAGGAGAAGTGGTGGCAAGAAAGCGAAGGGGCGGCCCCAGCTGTTTCCCTGGAGGACAGGACTGGTCCCTACGCAAGACGCATCTTGCTAGAACCCTAGCTGAAAACAGCTCCCACGTGGGTGACTCCGAGGTTCAGGTGGGAGGACAAAATCCAGGGGCCTGGGGAGAACAGGATCTGCCTGGAACCTAAACACGGCCCCGCGCCCGCTCCAGCCTCGTCCCTCTGGGCAGTCAGTTGGGTCGGGTGCGAGGCTGGTGTCGCTGCGGAATCAGGCCAGTGTGACCAGAAGCTGAGTAAACTTCCTCCGCAGCCATAAAGATCTGCTCAACAAAGGATTTTCCCCGAGTGGGGGAAAAAAAAGGATGTCTTTGCTGTCACTCATCGCTCCCTTCGGGAAGCAACCCCGTGAAAGCCAGCCTCAGATGCTTACAAATAGAGCAGTTTTCCCAAATCTGATTATGAGCCCTGTGGGCTTTGAAAATTATGGCAGCTTATGAAAAGTAACCACAGAGCCCTCTGCGGGCGTGGAGGAGGGCCCGGGGCGAGCGCCCTGGGAAGGGAATACGAGTCTAGCCCGGGCCCTCCGGGTCCAGTTGCCAAGTACAAATACAGAGCTTTCCATCAACGTGGGCCATTTGCAGCATCGGCTTAAAACCCAAGCAAACAGTAAATTCTTTCTGTTGTTTTGTTTTGCTTTGATTTTCCTCATGTAGACATTTGTGGTTAATACAAAATAAGGTCTCTGCGAACGTTACAAAGGTTGCAAATACGATATAAAACAGTACAAACCAAGGACAACTTAAGCGTCTCCCTCTGCAATGTTGTCATAAAGAGAATGTGAAAGCGTGTCATTTTTTTTTTTCCAGTTGTGCATTGCCCTCCCCCGCCCCCCAGAGCTAAAAAGGGCTGAAGCTGTTGACAGCACTGTCCCTCTCTTGCAATGACAGACCTTGCTAATCAGTCATGTCACTATTTCTTCTAAGCAAAATAGTCCAGGCACCTACCCATCCATCAGAGATGGCGGAGAAGTAGAGACTGAGTTGGGAAGATAATCTAGGGGTCTCTGAATGCATTTGGAACAAAAATATTTGCGAGAGGATCCTTTACACGGGCACCGCAGTGCAGAGGAAAGAACCCTGGCTGAGGACAAGGGTGATCGAACTGCAGTACACGTCTGAATCCCTGGAGGGGCTTTTGCAAACACCAGTTGCTGAGCCCCACTCCTAGAGTTCCTGATTGAATAGGTCTGGGACTTCCAAGAATTTGCATTTGTCACCAGCTTCCTGAGGATACAGATCCTGCTGGTCCCGTAACCACATTTGAGAACCACTGGACTAGGGCTTAAGGACACTGTGGTAGGCTGATAATGGCTTCCAGAGATATGCTCATGTTCTAATCGCTAGGACCAATGAGTGTGACCCTACGTGGTAAAGGTTTTACAAATGTGATTAAGTTAAAGATCTTGAGATCTTATCCAGCAGGCCCTGCTATGGGCTGAATATTTGCATCTCCCCAAAATTCTTTTTTTTTTTTTTTTTAGTTTATTTATTATTTATTTTGAGAGACAGAGAGAGAGAATGTGTGTGTGTGTGTGTGTGTGTGTGTGTGTGTGTGTGTGTGTGAGTGGGGGAAAGGGGAAGAGGGAGAGGGAGAGAGAGAATCCCAAGCTGGCTTCATGCTCAGCATGGGAGAGTATGTGGGGCTTAATCCCATGAACCATGAGATCATGACCTGAGCTGAAATCAAAAGCTGGACACTTAGCTGACAGAGACACCCAGGCGCCCTCCCCAAAATTCTTATGGTGAAACCTTACCTCCTAATGTGATGGTATTAGGAGATGGGGCCTTTGGGGGCTTTGCAGTTTAGATGAGGCCATGAGGGTGGGACCTCATGGTGAGATTACAGTCTTTATTAGAAGAGAAAGAGAATAGGGCTCATTCTCTCTCAAGGGAGGCTATAGCAAGAAGGCAGCCATCTGCAAGCCACAAGTAGAGCCCTCACCAGGAACCCGACCATGCTGGCCACCCTGATCTTGGACCTCCCAGTCTCCAGAGCTATGAGAAATAAATATCTCTTGCTCATGCCCCCAGTCTGTGGCATTTTGTTACAGCAGCCTGAGCATACCAAGACAGGCCCTAAATGCCGTTACAAATGCCCTTATAAGAGAGAGACAAAGGGAGATTAGACGCAGGAGAGGAAGAGGCAATGTGACCACAGAGGCAGAGGTTGAAGTGATGGGACCACAAGCCAGGGAGTGCCTGCAGCCACCAGAAACTGGATGAGGCAAAGGACAAGTTCTCCTCTACAGCTTCCAGAGGGAGCATGGCTCCTCAGACACCTTGATTTCAACCTGGTGAAACTGACTTTGAGCTTCTGACCCACGCAACTGTGAGAAGAAAAAAACAAAACAAAACTATTACACTGTCTTAAACCTCAGGATATAAGTATACAAACAGACAATGGCTAGATCATATATAACAAAAGAACTCTGGCCCACAGCCTCCACAGCAATCGGCACAGAATGGTCAGAACTTGGTCAATAACTGTTAGCTTCCTTAATCTGTGCCTCCGTTTCCAAATCAGGACCAAACAGAGAAAGCCAAATATGTTCCCCAAACCAATCACATAGGATGCCCAGCTTCCAGTTAGCCTGCCTGTAGCTTCCCCATGCCAACAGCTTCCCATCAGAGCATTCGTGAAGCTTTGTCCTTTTTTCATCATAAAGCCTCCCCACTCACCTTCCTGCCTTTGAGTCTACAAATGCAAGTGATGGTGGCCAGCTCCCTTGCTAGAGTACGCTCTGGATAAGTGGCCTCAGTTTGTCCTCATTTGGATGGGTTTTATTTCCACAAATCCTTCCTCTCAACGGTAAGTTTATTCTCATTTTCTATTTTCTACCACACCAAGTAGTACTTTGCTCATACAAGATAATCCGTAATTATTTTTAAGATCGTAGTGAAATTAGTATAGCCTCCCATATTACAGATAAGAACATAATACACCTGGAGAGATTAATGTATTTGCTAAAAGTTGCATCAAAGGGCAAGAAAAAATCCCAATTTCTGGACTCCCAGTCAAGTGCTTTTTTTCACTGCAAGACTGACTTCCTGGTTCTAGTATCTCCCCAACCTGCTCCCTCCCCAGTTTGTGTTATCGTCTTTGTCATGGCCCTGGGGTTGGAAGAGGGTACTTTTCGTGCCTTGACTTTGGATTTGGCCAAGGGACTTGGCTTTGGATGGTGAGATGTTAATGCTTCTGACTCAAGCAAGACTTGAGATGTGCTTTCATGGTTGGGCTTGCCCTCTTCCACCCCTGGCTGTCATTATGAGAAGAACAAGCCTCAGTTACCCACTGATCCAAGGAGGAGAAATTCATGGAGCAGACCTGTAACCAACAGGGAGCTTGGGGCCCAGCCAAGATTAATCAGTCCTGGCTTCCTAGCTCATCTACAGATACATGAGCAAGAGAACAGTGAAGTTTGTGGTATTTTTCATACAGCAAGAGCTGATTGGTGCAACTACTAACCATTTAAATAAAATGTGTGATTTAAAGAGGCAAGGTCAGGGGCACCTGGGTGGCTCAGTCAGTTAAGCATCCGACTTTGGTTCAGGTCACAACCTCACGGTCCATGGGTTCGAGCCCTGCGTCAGGCTCTGTGCTGACAGCTAGGAGCCTGGAGCCTCCTTCGGATTCTGTGTCTCCCACTCCCTCTCTGCCCCTCCCCAGCTCATGCTCGCTCTCTCTCTCTCTCTCAAAAAACATAAATAAAAACATTAAAAAAAATAAAGAGGCAAGATCAACAGTAGAAAGGGATTTATTAAAGGTACTTTTTTTTTTTTTTTAAAGAAAATCTCAATAGAACCATGTGTATTAGTTATCTATTCATACAAATTACCACAAACTCAGTGGCTGAACAGAACAGACACTTATGGTCCCATATTTTCTGTGGGCCAAGAGTCCGAGCACTGCTTAGCCGGGTCTTCTGCCCAGAGTCTCCCAAGGCTGTGGCCAGTATGTTGGCCAGATCTGGGTTCTCATCAGAAGCTAACCCAGGAAAGTATCTGCTTCCTCGCGTACCTGGTTGCAGATAGTGTTTGATTCCTTTCAACTCTAGGATCCATCGGTTCCCTTGGCCAACGAGGGGAGAGAGACTATGGGTAAATCCACTACCAAGGTGGGAGTCTTGCTTAAATAATCACAGAGTGGCATCCCCCCGTGTTTGCCATATTTTATTAGTTATGCGGAGGGGGGCGGGATTACACAAAGGCAGGGACACAGGGAAGGATGGCACGAGAAGAGGGGACAGCTATATGGTCTGTCACCACAGCCCATCTTCTCTTCCCATGAAGCATGGCATCTGCCATCTCTGCATGTCTCCTGGTGGTCTCGGGACAGTGCAGCTAACCAGCTGGCCGGGAGAAGCTGAGGAAAGATGAAAGGAAAAGGTGACATTTTCTGGAAAATAAAAAGTTGAATGGAACCAAATCTGCCTTTCAATTTCCTTCTAGTCATTTTGTGGCATTAATGATAAATGCTGACCTAGGGGCACCAGGATGGCTAAGTCAGTTGAGCATCCAACTCCAGCTCAGGTCATGATCTCACAGTTCATGAGTTCGAGCCCCACGTTGGGCTCGCTTGTCAGCCTGTCAGCACAGAGCCCGCTTCAGATCCTCCGTCCCCTTCTCTCTCTGCCCCTTCCCCACTTACGCTCTCTTTCAAAAAATAAAAAAACTTGACCTAGTAATTCTACTTTTTGGTACCCATCTTTGGGAACGTCTAGCACATGTGCCTGAAGAGACATATACAGGGCTTGTCATCTGTCGTGTGAAACAACATGTGTGTTCAGCACTGGAGGAATGGCTGCGTGGATTGTGACCCATCTCTACTTTGGAATAGTTTGTAACTCGTTTAAACAAAAAAGGTGGATTCAAAGTGTATTGTTAAGTGGAAAAGGCAAGGTGGAGAATACCCAGGCTATATGACACAAAGCGCAGAATATTTTCTGCATAGAAAGTACAAGTGCATAGGGAAACATCTAGAAAGGGATACAGAGGCCTCAGAGTACTGTTTAGCTCAGAGTTTCTGAGCTGACGAGAATTATGTCAGGAGAGGGATCAAAGGGGAGTCTGGTCATCTATATTTTGATTTTCTCCCCTGGGAAATGTATTCACATATTATTTTAGATTTACGTATGATATTGTTATACATTAATATATAATTCTTTATATTATATAGAATACTGTATATTATATGTATATGTTAATTTATATATTGTGTTAATATATGTGTTAACAAAATATTACATAAACATTATATGTATTACATAATTTACATATTACATTATAGCAAAGAAGTCAGGAGTAGAAGTCAGCAATATAGCTGTATAAATCATGATGGTTTTAACCATGTACACAGATTCCTTGATACTTCTCCCTTGAAGAGAAGATCTGCCCCGGCCAGTAGTTTAACTACAACCTCACGAGGGACCCTGAACCAGAATGACTGGGACAAACTGCTCCCAGATCCCTGCCCCACAGAAAATGTGAGATGGTAAGTGTTGTTTTAAGCCTCCAAGTTCGGGGCTAACTTGTTACACAGCAACAGATAACTGATACACAGATTGGTGAGACTAACAGTGGCTTTTTACAACAAGGTAGCGTTCTTACACCACCTTGGAAGAGTACATGGAAGTGTTTTGAGCAAGAGGAATGTCTGTCCGTTAAGGGTGAAGTTAAAATAAAGTCCTTGTTTTTAATACGCTCAGTCGCCAACATGGAAAAATCCTGTCACACCAGGGAAAAAACACTGAAGACTTACCAAACCTTTGTCGTGTGATAGCGATCACCAAAAACCCAGCATCCATCTTGTCAACAAATGTTATTCCATTCCACCCATAGTAGAATTTTCCTTTTGCCTTCATAATGCATCCTTCCCAGAACTTCTCCCTGAATCACATCAACAGTTTGAAGGTTGCGCAATGACTGCCTATGAGAACAGCCCCCAAGCGGGTGAAGTTTGCACCCCAACCCATCAACATTGGTTACGATCATCGCTGGGCCTTTGGATTACTGGTGATTTCATCTTCTTCATGGTGGATCCCATTTTCAAATTTTCTGCAACGAATGCATATTAATTTGGACAGCAAAAAAATATTAATGCTAATTCTCTTTTACGATTGATTTATTTTGAGAGAAAGAGAGCGAGGGAGAGAGAGCACGTGTGCTCACACAAGCACAAAAGGGGCAGAGGGAGAGAGAGACTGAGAGACAGAACCCCAAGCAGGTTCCACAGTGTCACTGCAGAGCCTGATGCAGTGCTTTTACTCATGAACAGCGAGATCGTGACATGAGCCAAAATGAAGAGTCAGCTACTGACGCGACTGAGCCACCCTGGGGCGCCACGCGAATTCTTTTTAAAAGTTACCACATATCGATTAACAACTACATGTTGTTTCTTTCAGCAGGCAGAACCCAAGCCCTCAGCTACCACCACTGTCTATTTAGCTGTAACCCATGTGGCCCAAACATTTCTCCCCGGTGGCTGGATAAGCCCCCTGAAACCCTGTGACTAGTTCATATCCTAGAAGGAAAAAGGTAAAGGCTTCTTACCTAAAGGAAAAAAAAAAAAAAATCTCCCTTTATTTATTTATTTATTTATTCATTTATTTTTAGAAAGAGAGCACACACACAAGTGAGAGAGAGAGAGAGAGAGAGAAGCAGAGGGAGAGGGAGGGAGAATATTAAGCAGGTTCCACACTCAGTGCAGAGCCCAAGGCGGGGCTCAATCCCGCAACCCTGGAATCATGACCTGAGCCAATATCAAAAGTCGGACGCTCAAGGGACTGAGCCACCCAGGCGCCACACCCCAAAGCCCTTTATTTTAAAGGTCTTTCTGAGGCTGGTGTCTGGGTCACGTTTCTAAGGCTCAGACCTGAACATAAAAGGTGGGTTTGCCCCAAAGCCTCAGACCTCTAGCAGCTGGCCTGGTTCTGCCTCCTGCCTGCCTCATAGAAGGAGGAGAACCTGGAGAACCCAGTGGCCCTGGGCCTGGTCTTCAACTTTTATTTCCCGTCTTGCCTTGACTCATGCATGCTAACATCCAGCTTGATCAAAAGCAAGGAACAGTTTGAGTCTTCTCTCGACCCTTATCGATTTTCTCTTTATCCCGTCCCCGTCTCGAATCTTCTTGTCCCTTCCTATGGCCGACCTCATCACCTGAAGTCTATTCTTATTTGAGAAATCTCCTTACTGTCCTGGTGCCTCCTCTCCCCTCCTTCCAATCCACGCGGCTGGACTGAAATCCCCACGTTCCTCTCGTCACCTCCCATTCCAAGCTCTCCCGTGTGTTCCTGTTGCAACTACCTGAAGTGTGAGTCCTCAGTACATTCAGCATCTCCAGACCCTACCCCTTTCCAACAGGTATCTCTTTCCAGACATATCTCCACAGCCACGCCAATCCCATCTAACCGGCATGTATGTATTAAGTACTGCTATGCCCCAGGACCATACTTACGATGGGGAAATAGACAAAAAGAGCTTACAGCCTAGTAAAAGAGACCATTAGTAATTACATAGAGGGGCTCAGAGTGTTTACAGAGGGTGGAGGAGAGGAGCCTCAAACAGCACCGTGGAGGAAAACCTCCCTCAGATTGAAAAAGGGGGCAGGGAGATGGTCTCGGAAGGATTCCCAGAGGAGATGATGCTTGAGCTAAAACCAGAAGCCACGTGGAGGCTAAGTAGCTAAAGAAGTGAACAGAGGGCTTTCCAGGCCTAGAGAACAGCACAGGCAAAGCTTCGGTGGCCTGAGCAAGTATCCAATGTAGGAGAAACCGACCAGATACGGTCCATGAGTGACGAAGCCAAAAGCAGAGCGGGGATGATCTCACTCAGTGGGTACCAACTGGTACTAATTGACTGAGCCCAGGCTTTGAAGCATGGTGGCGCCCAGACCACAGACCAACCCATGTGGCATAAGACAATTCACTTAGCCTATCAGAGCCTCAGTTTCCCTAGGCCTAAAGTGAGATTTAAAATACCAACCATGTGGTGTTATTTTGAGGATCATAAAATAAAATGCATTTAAATCACCAGGCTGAGGGGCGCCCGGGTGGCTCAGTCGGTTGAGCGTCCGACTTTAGCTCAGCTCATGATCTCACGGTCTGTGGGTTCGAGCCCCGCGTCGGGCTCTGGGATGACAGCTTGGAGCCTGGAGCCTGCTTCAGATTCTGTGTCTCCCCCTCTCTCTGACCCTCCCCCGCTCATGTTCTGTCTCTCTCCCTCTCTATCAAAAATAAATAGACATTTAAAAAATTTTTTTAATAAAAAAAATAATGAATCACCAAGCTGAGTGTCTGCCCCATTACGGAAGGTTGAAAAATCCATGCCTCCCTTCCCCTTTTATTACTTAATAAGAACCGTAGCAAACAACTACGTAGCATTTACTCTGCACCAGGCACTTTACAATTCATGGAAAACAAATGCCTCAAGAGTATGCATGAAGCGCTTAGCGGGTCTACTGAGAGCTTCTCTCTACCACGGTGGAGCGAACAGAGCTGAGAGATAACAATGGCCAGAAAGAAAGGGGTCACCTTTTATTCAGGTTAGCAGGAAACTAACTACACATCAGTGAAGAAGAAAGACGTTAGAGTCGCAGAGCACTAGACGCGACTTGGAACAAAGGCCTTCAGACGGTGTGGAGACCAGAGCTCTATAGTCTCTGCCATCAGGATACCCGGGGTCCACTTCTAGCATCAGCCCTCCGCAGGCTGGTCCCTTATCACACTCCCTCCTTCACCACATCATCATCGAAGGCAAAGCCTTTCCCGAATGAGCGGCTGCCTTCCCTGCTCACATCGCTCTTCATTTGCAACGAATGGGCACAATTGTCTGGTCTTGTGGTGCATTCCCTCCTTCCTTCATTTGGCTGATATTTCCTGGAGGCTGAAAGCATAACAGAAATCAAAACACATACAGCCCCTCCCCTCTGGGAGCTCACAATGCTGAGAAACCAGTGAGGGAGCAAGGCACTAGTCATCACAAAAGTAAGTGTTTAAATGTATTTTTTTTTTTTTTTTAATGTGCCGTGCTAGAGAGTTAGGCTGCTTGGCGGTGTTCAGCAGGGTTTCTGACCCAGTGAACCGAAGGGTCTTGGAGGACCAGTATAATTGCCCCCAACTATTTTACAAGCAAGCTCCTGTAGGCCTGACCCCATCATATTTGTCCTCGCTTCCCCTGCCACCCCGGCCAGTGGCACATAGTAGCCGCTCAATAAATGTCAGCTGCAATAAAGGAGTTCCCGGACCAGTTCAGATCAAAGCCTGACTCCCACCAGAGTTAATAAAAAGCTCTGGTTACAGGCTTCTGAGGACACAACCTGGGATGTTTGCTTTCCTTCATTTCCAAGGAAGGCATTCTCGAGTTCCCAACATTTAAGAGAAGGCTCAGGAGAGAAAGTTTGTGTAGTTAATAATCCAGCCCGGGATGGTTTATCTCAAAGCCGAGGGGGTGGGGGGTGGCTGGCTGCCTCAGGGCTGTCAGCAGGGAACTGGATGTGAAGAGGTGGGAGATTACAGGAGCTTTGGAGACAAAGGAACATAAATCAAAAAGAATTAAAAGAAAACAAGATCCTTGAGCCTCCGCCTGTTAAGGTTCTTTTAAAAGTATTTTTGCTAGTGAGTCGGGTGGGGGAGGGTAAACAAAGTTTAAATGAAGGAAAGTAAGCCCAAAAGTGAATGGCTAAAGGCCGCGTACAGCCCAGGTCTGTCCCCTCCTCTGTCTTTTTACTTTTCTCTGTCTTACTGTTAATGGCCCGAAATGATTAACAATTGGAAAAAAGATGTCACAGACATAAACTGTTTCCTCCCTCTCTTCCCCACTCTTGTTTCAATTCCCGTTTGGTTCAGACACTCTGAGCTACAGATCTTCCTTCACGATGAAATGGTTTGGGCTCTACTTAATAAGTCAACACCAGAATGCAAGGCGGGGTTGAGCAGGTGGAAGAGGATGGCTTTATCCCAAAAGCATAAACGTCCACCCGAATTAGATTTAAATAGTAACACTGCACCGAAGCTGTGCAAGTCCCACGCCCTCCATAAATCGGGCAGCCAGCCTGAACCCCTTACCAGAGCTTCGAACAGAAACCATCCTACTCCAGGACGTCCTCAGGCTTCTGGTCTTTTCTAAGATGATACATTACCAGAACTTTAGACAAGAACATTAATTCCCACCCCTGATACCTCCACGGGTAGCCCACTCTCCTACAGAGGAAACCACTTCTTCGAGAATTAGGGTTGCCATAGAAAATTCAGGACGTCTAGTTAAATGTGAATGTGAAATAAGCAACAAATAATTTTTCAGTATGAGTGTGGCCAAAATATCACATGTTTGGATGTCCTACTTTTACTTGCTAAATCTGGCAAACCTTGCGATTCTCCAGCTCAACAGATCCTAAACATATAGGGTTGCCAGATAAGCTATAGGTTGGTCAGTTAATTTGAATTTTAGATAAATAACTAATCATTTTTTAGTATAAGTATATCTCATGCTGCAATATTTGGGATATATATATATATATAGTTAGAAAGAAGGAAAGAAAGAAAGAAAAGAAAAGGAAAGAAAGAAAGAGGGAGAAAGGAAGGAAGGAAGAGGGAAGAAGGGAAGGAGGAAGGAAGGAAGGGAGGAAGGAAGGAAGGAAGAGGGAAGGAAGAAGAAAGGAAGGAAGGGAGGGAGGAAGGAAGGAAGAGAGAAGGGAGGGAGGGAGGGAGGAAGAGGGAAGGAAGGAAGAAGGGGAAGGAGGAAGGAAGGAAGGGAGGGAGGGAGGGAGGGAGGAAGAGGGAAGGAGGAAGGAAGGAAGGAAGGAAGGAAGGAAGGAAGGAAGGAAGAAGGAAGGAAAGAAGGAAGGAAGGGAGGGAGGGAGGAAGGGAGAAGGGAGGAAGGGAGGAAGCGGGGAGGGAGGAACAGACTCCAAATAATGGAGTCTCTCATGCTCATTAATTTATTCTTTTAATATGTGTATACACTCCGAAAGCATCGGGGCTAAAGCCAGCACAGGGATCATGTGTAGCTTTTGTGAGAACACCATGATAAATATGAAGATTGCACCATACTACCACAGGGCTCCCGTGCACTTGCACACACATACACACACACACACGTGTGTGTGTGTGTGTGTGTGTGTGTGTGTGTGTGTGTGTGTATAGCAGACTGGAGAGACACAGCATTCTTATGATAAAGGCAACTACAATAACACCTGAGTTGTTGTTGCTGTGTTTAGGCAGAAAAGTCCCAAGAACACATATAAATAAATATAAATCATAAATGAGAAAGGACATCTTTTCTGAGAAAATGGAGGAGCAAAGGGGGTGGTTAAAGTTCCCAAGTAAGCTGAGGGTAAAGGAAGAAGCATGTGAAGGGGTAGGAGACGAGCTTACTGCATGTATCAGCTGGACGCTGGTGGAAGAGACACTCAGTTCAAAGCCAGTAAGGAGCCGAGCATTCGTCCGGGTGCTTCTGTGACTGTTCGTTTGCCTGCCTTGGCAGTTTTACTCTTGACTACTGGCTTTCTACCATGCTTTGTTTCACATTCTGTGAGTGTGTATGGCTAACATGTATCTTTTCTCTTTAATCTACTCTACAGCATAAAATCCATAGGGAAACAGCAGCAAGGATTCAAATATTACTGTTTGAATTAAAAATTCAAAAATGATTATACTCTTAACTCTGTTAAAAACTGGGAGACATTATCGTGAAGAGCGATCAAATATTTCCAATCTTGCTTAAGAAGTCTTTCGGAAGGATAACAATGATCTTTCAATGATCATGTCAAAGAAAAGTAAAAAGAAGCAGGTGAAATTCATGTTAATAAAAGATTTTACTGAAGGGGCACCTGGGTGGCTCAGTCGGTTGGGCGTCCAACTTCGGCTCAGGGCATGCTCTCACAGTTCGTGAGTTCGAGCCTTGCGTCGGGCTCTGTGGTGACAGCTCAGAGCCCGGAACCTGCTTTGGATTCTGTGTCTCCCTCTCTCTCTGCCCCTTCCCCGCTCATGCTCTGTCTCTCTCTCTCTCTCTCTCTTAATAATAAATAAACATTAAAAAAAAAGATTTTACTGAAGCCCAGTATCTCCAAAATACTATCATTTCAACATGCAATTAAAATTATGAATGCAATACTTTATATTTTTTCTTAAACCAAGGCTTCAAAATCTGGCACATCTCACCTAGATGCTAACTTTTACCAGAAATACTTTATGTATATTTAGATTTCATAAAATTTGCATTTGAAAATGGAGACTCACGTACCCAACTTGTTCGGAACATACTTACGAGCTTCCCAATAACCGAGTTAACTCTTTAAGTTTAAACTGACATAGAATTAAAAAGCCAGCCTCCCGTTGTCCCAACCACATTTCAAGTGACCAATACCTGCAAGTGCAGATCGAAGGTAAAGACACAAATTTCCAGCCTCCAGTTTTCAGCCTCTAAGTAACATCATCGATTTCTGCTGCTCGTGCCCTATTTCTTGCTCTTTTAATATCCTGATTGTCACTCAACCTGCAGTCCCATCTTCTGGAAAATAAAGCCTAGAAAGAAAAGGGGTTGACCTCCGACTTATCCCAAAGAACAAAGCAAATTCATCCCCTGAGCTCTACTGATATTTTCTTTTGTTGTAACTTTTTTTAAATGTTTATTTATTTTTGAATGAGAGAGAGAGAGAGAGAGCACGCGAGGTGGGGAGGGGCAGAGAGAGAGGGAGACGCAGAATCCGAAGCAGGCTCCAGGCCCCGAGCTGTCAGCACAGCGACGAAGGGATCGAGCCCATGAGCCAAGAGATTATGACCTGGGCCGAAGTCAGATGCTCAACCAACTGAGCCACTCAGTCGCCCCTTGACCGATATTTTCTTAATGGTAACATTCAGTTCTGTAAACGCTGTAGAAGTAACTTCATCTGCACGGAACTTGGAGTGGTTTCTGCCTATTCCTTCTTGGTATGCAGAGAGCATTGCGCATGGTAAGTATTCAACAAAAGCATGCTAAATGCGCAAATGAGTGACCATTCGGGAGACATGCTCCAGTTAATTGTGCTCATGGAGGGGCGCCTGGGTGGCGCAGTCGGTTAAGCGTCCGACTTCAGCCAGGTCACGATCTCGCGGTCCGTGAGTTCGAGCCCCGCGTCAGGCTCTGGGCTGATGGCTCGGAGCCTGGAGCCTGTTTCCGATTCTGTGTCTCCCTCTCTCTCTGCCCCTCCCCCGTTCATGCTCTGTCTCTCTCTGTCCCAAAAGTAAATAAACGTTGAAAAAAAAAAATTAATTGTGTTCATGGAAAAACCGAAGGAGATCATTTAAGAAAAGAATTCTCTGCCCTATTCTTTGGGTAATGTCTTTAACCAAGACCCTTTCATCCAGTGATACCTGATGATAGCAACAGAAAGAGGGAGGAGGAGTGCCAAGAGGAAGCTGTCATCAGATATCTCTGCTCAGACAAATGACCAGAATTCTCCTGCTCTGGCCCACCCCTCATTTGATGGTGGCACAGACCGGTACAGCAGGGACACAGACCAAAGCGCTATTACCGGACTTCAGGTCTTGGGGGGGGAATGAAATAAAGTCGAGTATCGATCCCAGCAGAGACAGTTCAGACATGGAAGGGCCAGCCCGTGCCAGAAACCCCAGCACAGCCCTTTGGGATTTGCTGAGAGAGTCCCTCAAGAAGGTTCGGAAGTTGGGGCGCCTGGGTGGCGCAGTCGGTTAAGCGTCCGACTTCAACCAGGTCACGATCTCGCGGTCCGTGAGTTCGAGCCCCGCGTCGGGCTCTGGGCTGATGGCTCAGAGCCTGGAGCCTGTTTCCGATTCTGTGTCTCCCTCTCTCTCTGCCCCTCCCCCCGTTCATGCTCTGTCTCTCTCTGTCCCAAAAATAAATAAATGTTGAAAAAAAAATTTAAAAAAAAAAAAAAAAGAAGGTTCGGAAGCACTTACAAATAAATACATAGGGGAAAAAGGTGGATTGTGCACACTCACTTCAATAAGAAAGAGATGAGAAAAACTCCCTTTTGAAAAAAAAAAACATGCAAATCACTTAAGAATTGGACGAAGAACTCTCAGATGAGGTCCGCTTTGAGAAGGTCACGTGCCAAGAAAAAAAAGAAGATGTATGAGTAGAGCTCACCTCCAGGAGTGAGGTCAGCAGAGCAGAAGCTCAAAACAAGGTTAGGACTGAGGGAAACAAGTGCTTACAATTTTTAAAAGGGGTATTTGTTAGTTTCCTATTGACGGTATAACCAATTGCCACAAACCTCATGGCTTAAAATAGCACAAATTTATTGTCTGAAAGTTCTGAGGGTCAAAACTCCAAAACCAGTCTGATTGGGCTAAAAGCAAGGTGTCGGCGGACCTGAATTCCTGCTGGAGGTTCTAGGGGATATTCCATTTTCTTGTCTTTTCTGGTTTCTAGAAGCATCCTGCATTCCTTGGATTCTGGCCCAACATGGCTCCACCTTCAGCTTGCATGGTTGTATCTCTTTCTCTCTTTCTGATCATCTTGTCTCCCTCTTATAAGAACACTTGTGATGGATGGCATTGGGCCCACCCAGATAAGCCAAAATAATCTCCCCATCTCAGGATCCTTGATTTAATCACACCTGCAAAGTCCTCTTTACCAAGGTTCCAAGGATTTGTGCATGGACATCTTTGGGGACCGTTACTCAGCCTGGCACAGATATACTTGACTGTCCTACAGGAAAATGAATATTTCTCGGAGGCAATGATGTGATGCTCAGCAGTGACAAAGGGGAAGTGAGCCTTCTTGATTCCTTCATGACTTCCAACTTCTCTGACAGGAAGACTGATCCCTTCCCCAACCCCTATAAGCTAATACACCCAGTTTCCCCCAAGTCTCTGTGATTCATTGTGCTGTCCTCTGTTAGAGCATTCAATCACTCAACGAATAGTTATTGAACATCTACTATGTTGAAGCAATATTCTAATCACCCAGGATAGCAAATCTAATCACCCAGTGAGCAAAACAAATGAAAGTTCTTATCCTCAAAAAACGATCACACTAGTAGGGGAAGACACACAATTAAAAAAAATTAAAAAGAAAGAAGGAAGGAAATTATACGGTGTATTTGAAAGTGATTAAGTGCTATTTAAAAGGCAAGGCAGGGGAGAGTGCCTGGGTGGCTCAGTCCGTTAAACATGTTAAGCACCTGACTTCCGCTCAGGTCATGATCTCATGGTTTGTTCCAGTTTCAAATCAGGTGAGCAGGAACCCCTCTTGGGTGAGCTCCACTTCTCTCTCTCTCTCTCTCTCTCTCCCTCTATCACTTGTGACCCCTCTGGTGCTCAAAAAAAAAAAAAAAAGGGGGGGGGGGGGGGGGGGGGGGGGGAGAGGAGTGGGGAATGCAGGTAGTTAACCTGCTAGGTGCTAACTCAGTGTTTAGGAAAGGCTTCCCTGAGAATAGGGCATCTGCCCAATCTGCTTGAAGGGTGAAGGAGGGAGCCACACCCTTTCTTAGATCCCCTAAGAACAGAAACCGCAAATAAGGCAAAAGCCCCGCAGGGGGAACAGCTTGAGGGGCTGAAGCAGATGGGGACTAGCCAGGCTGCAGGAGAATCAGCAAGGGGACAGTTGCAGGAGCTGAGAACAGATGCTCATGGGAGGGCCAGCCGAGGAAGGCCTTGTCACATCGGATTGTCCAGGACCATGAGCTCCAGAGAGCAGGGATACTGTCTCATTCTCTTTGGTGTCCCTGGCACCTCGCACAGTGTGAGCATGCGTAGTTAACGCTTGCGACACGGGGCATGCTTCTCTCCTTGCAACTTCACTGCAGGCTTCTTCCCTCCTGCACGTAGGACAGGGGCCTGGCATGTCTGTCACTAGATAGCACGGACCCGACGCCTGTGGCCAAGAAGTAGGAGTTGCAGGTGCAGGGGCCAGAATCCTGTGCGCTCTGCCCCTGCGCTCTGCCTACCTGCTCCGCGGCTGCCTCGCTGCCCTTCGCTCACTGCCCCCCGCCAATGCCATCCCACCTGTGCCAAAGCCCCCCGGCGGCGAGGCCTTTTTCCTTTCATCACCCGCTGGGAGCACCAGCTCCGCGGAAAGCTGGAGAGACCGGAAGAATTGGGGTGGGGAAGGAGGTGCGAGACCCGCCCCGCCGGCGCGGTCTGGGGTGGGGATGGGGGTGGGGGGGGGAGAGGGGACGGGAGTCGGGAGCGCCGCGCCCAGCGCGGGGGCGGGGGACAAAGGGTTAAGCGATCGGCGTTACTGTCTGCGTGCGGCTGGGCTCCGAGGGCCTCGCGTTGCGCCTGGGTGGTCCGGTACAGTCGCGGGCAGCAACCTATTAGTGGTATCTCGGCGTGATTTATGCAGCTGTCAAGCTGCCTTCACCGCGACAAGTGAACTGCGGCCCCGCGCCGCGCTCCTTCCGAGACCATCAGTAAATGGGGCCAAAGAGAAAGGAAAACAGCCCAAGGTGCCACCCCTCAGCCTCCGGGTCCTCTAATGACGAGTCCCCTCTATAGAAAAACATCCAGCTGCCCCCAGGAGAGCGACTCACAGAGCCCCACTGTCTGGGGCGCCAGGCCGGCAGGGGGCCGGTGGGGGGTGGGGGGGCAGGCGGGCTTGGCAGGGAGCCACCCGCCACCAGCGGAGCGGGGGCAAGCCAGCCCGCCAGGCGTGGCGCGGACACGGCCAGGGGGCGACGGTGACAGTGCCAGGGGTGGACGTCGTCCTGCGGCCAGGGGAGCGTGGTCAAGCCAACATGCCACCCACGAGGTCTGGCACCCGCTCCACCCCGCCACCCCTCCTTTTACCCTCCGGCACAGGCGACGCTGGCCTGAGAGGGCTACACAGGGGACACGCGTCCCCTCGGCCTCAGCAATCCCCACACCTCCCACCTGCGCAGGTGACCCTGGGTCCGTCCATGGCCATCAGACACCAGCGCCTACCCCCCCCCCACTCCCCCTTGCCCACACCCACACCGGTGCACACACCCCTGCCACACGCACCCGTACCTACACACCTGCTATCCAAGAGGGCCACGGCCCCCCAGGAGAGGGCTATCTCTTTTATTCAGTATTTGATTGACAGTGAAGTAGCCAAGGACCTGTGCAAAGCTTTAGAGGCCTGGGGAAGTGTGCGTCTGTGTGTCTGCGCGTGCGTGTGCGTGCGCGTGTGCGTGAGAGAGCGCGCGCGCGCCAACAACCACAGGACTGCCCTTGTTAATAACGTCAGGGACGTTAATAGGCCTCTTTTCTCCCTGCTGCCAAGTGGCATGCGGTGCATTGTGTTTGTGGTACCGCAGTGGAGGGCAGGTGTTCCACACTGGATCTGATTCCCAGCCAGAACGTTTCAGAGGCTGGAGGTGACGCACAGCGACGAGTTCCTGATTGCTGCTGACACGGGGAGAAGCGGAAGGAGGTGCGTGCTGGCCCCCGGGGTCTCCCCCCCCCCCCCGCCCCCGGAACGGCCCCTCCCTCCCTCTCTCTTCCTTCAATACCTTGGCCTTGCCTTGAGGCCACAGGACCCGGCACTCCACAACGTGGGTGCCCTGAAAAGGAAACTCTTAGCTGGACTCAGAAGGACACAGGTGGCACCGACAGCTGCACGCTCCCTGGGTCTCTGGACTTGGCAGAGCTCCCTGGACTTGGTCATTTAACAGTCCTGTCAACACAGGCGGGAAGGGACAATGGCATTTTTAATAAGCTTCCTGTTTGTTCAGAGAGGAAGCTGCTAATGCCTCACTCCAGAATGGTGTCTGGAGGTGACCGTGCCAGCTCTCCCTCCGGGCACCTGATCTGCCCCCCTTCTGCCTGTTCAGCCACAAGTTTCAAAGGTTGACAGTTTAGCTCAGGGCATGGCAGCTCTTGCATTTCCCACTGCCAGGGGCTTCTCAAGGACCCTTGTGCCCTTCTGTTTTCCAGGGCACCATTCTTCTGCTCTGGTCTGGGTATAAAAGGGAACAGCTGCACTGGAAGTCGGGACTGGAGCCCGCTTGGCCCACATTCCTTGTCGAATTCCCGTCTTGGCCCTCTCCCCTGAACCCCCACGTCCGGTTAGTGCAGGCGGTCCCCGGGGCCCTGCTTCTACTTTCAAATCCCTCACGGCAACGCCTCACACCACCCCACACGGCATGAGGGGCCTTTCTGGGGTTTGTTTTCTCATTGGCTCCCCAGAGACCCTGGACAGATAAAGTCACAAGGAGGTAGAAGGCATCCATTTTCTTTCCGGTCGCTCCTTGAGAAAGAAGGAGGCTGGTGACAGAAGAATAAACCGTTATAATTCCTTGGGTGCTTTTCTGGCATATTCTGTGGGGAAGCTATGCCTGGAAATGACGATGGATGGGCCCAGATTGATTTTTTTTTTTTTCTGCTGTTTCCCACATAGGGTCTTTTCAAACTCATTTGTGCAAGACTTTTTTTTTTTTTTTCTTTTCTGAAAAGCTGGGAGAAGGTAAAATTTCACAGGAGAGTCCCATGCTTTCTTCTGTGGGAACTATGAGGCCAGCTCACCAACTCCACTGTTCCCACGTGGCTTCAACCCCGCCTTGTCCCACCCAGGCCTTTGCAATGACTTTCTCAAAACTCCAATCTTTCTTCTTCCGCCCTAATCACCTTCTTTAAATACAAGCAAGATCTCACTTTTCCCTCCTCTAAAATCTTCACTGGCAAACTGTCTGCCAAAGTCCCAAACCTGAGTGTCATCAAAAGCCCTTGACAAGATGGATCCATCCAATCTCTTTTTATGTACCCTCCCTTCAGAAGATACACGTGGTAGGGGCGCCTGGGTGGCTCAGTCAGTTAAGCGTCCGACTTCGGCTCAGGTCATGATCTCGTGGTTCATGGGTTCGAGCCCCGCGTGGGGCTCTGTGCTAACAGCTCAGAGCCTGGAACCTGCTTTGGATTCTGTGTCTCCCTCTCTCTCTGCTCCTCCCCCACTCATGCTCTGTCTCTCTCTCTCTCAAAAATAAACATTTAAAAAAATTAAAGAAAGAAAAGGAAGATATACGTGTTAATCTGGGTTGGCCAAGAAGTAGACATCATGATGAGATTCACAATGCATAGATTCACTTGCCATTTGCAACTACGTGGATGGAACTGGAGGGTATTATGCTAAGCGAAATTAGTCAGAGAAAGACAAATATCATATGACTTCACTCATATGAGGACTTTAAGACACAGAACAGATGAACACAAGGGAAGGGAAGCAAAAATAATATAAAAACAGGGAGGGGGACAAAACATAAGAGACTCTTAAATACGGAGAACAAACAGAGGGTTACTGGAGGGGTTGTGGGAGGGGGGATGGGCTAAATGGGTAAGGGGCATTAAGGAATCTACTCCTGAAATCATTGTTGCACTATATGCTAACTTGGATGTAAATTTTAAAAATAAATTTAAATTTTTTTTAAAAAAATGCGTAGATTCAACTAGGGCTAATACCTGTGGAAGAGAAAATGGGGCAGTAGCTGGAGAAAGCAGGAAGAACTGTCAGAGTTTAATGAAGGTTTGACATACACACACGCACACACACACACACACACACACACACACACACAGCGAAGGGGAGAGGAAGGAAATGTCAAGTAGAAGCATCCAAGACTGATATAGAATTAAGAAAGTTGCATCAAGGCCATCAGGGAGCGATGTCAGCCCACATCAAGGGAAATTTAGCCAACAGAGGACTTCCATGGCTTCCAGGAATGGACCCATCTTTGTATCCCTGCCTCACTCAGCCACTGGCTGAGAACAGCCGATGGGAAATGCATTTGGCCTTGATGAAACCCAGTGTGGATTGGTTTATGGACTTTTCAGAGGGCAGCAGCTGGGACCCTTGGTCAACCCCTGGATTTTGAGGTCTTCAAGGGGCAATTCCATGGGCATTCCCATAGCTGCCACAAGGTGCAGGTCAGCCAAAGAAAGTAACCTATAGTCTTCAGAGCAAGCCATTCACCCATGCATTTGCTCCTGCCTTCTTCCTGGCCTGCCATGCTCCTTCTTCCATTCTACCACCAAATGAAATTCTACTCATCCTTCAAGGGTCCACACAAGTGCCACCTTCTCCAAGAAGCCTTTTATCTACACTGATGATACTTTGCCTGCCCCTCCATGATAGCATCCTTTTGGATTTACACTAGTTGTCCAAGTCTCATCCCTGGCCTTGAGGATGAGAACTGTTTCATTCCTCTTTATACAAGTAGTTTGGCACCGCAGCTCACATAGATTCACTCACGTACTTATTCAACAGGATTTCTTGTTTATTTTTATGTACCAGGCACTACACTGGGCCCCACTGGTCTAGAATTGTGCAAGATGGTGAAGGAGCTTACTTTCCAGCCTGGGTGAGGGAACTAGGAGAATGAAAATATTAAGAGTCAAGCAATGTCCCACAGGAGAAAGGGGACAAGAAGGCAGAGTCCTGAGCCAGGGTATCCTGGGCTGGTACGATGTTTTTAAAAAATGTACAGCAATTGCTTGGGAGTGCTAAATTTGGGGAGTTGACGTTGAAAACCATCCAGAAGTCAGATTAATGAATTTCAATGACCCCATTGGTTCAGCAAAATTACCAGAAAGCCTCTGTCTACAATGGCTCTGAATGGGCAAAAAAAAATCTCTGTGCCTGTGTCTTACACTGCCATAAATGTTTATTGGAGCTATGCACAGGCTTTCAGAAACCCCAGGCCAAAGTCAAGAAATTAACAAGTAAATACAAAGCAAAAGCTCTTCTTAAAGTAATTCCCCATTAATAAGTATAAAATGCTTAAGAAAACAATCCACTGTGAGTAAAAAGTCAGTGAGTACAACAGATGATTAATTCATCAAGAACTTGAGATAATAGAAAAACAATGTAAGAGAAACTATAAAGCAAGTATGCTTAAAGTATAAAAGCATTTCTTTACGTATTAGAAATAGAAGGGAAAAAATTGGACTCTATGAAAAAATGAACCAGCAGATTTGAAAAAGAATGAATCAAAACTTCTACAAATGGAAAATATTTTCATGAAAATTAAAAAGTGAATGGGCAATGAAACAGCAAATCACCCAAGTTAGATTTGAAAAAAGTGATCAAATATAGCACAGAAAAGTAACAAGGTAGAAAATATGAAACATTAAGAAACCATGGATGATATAATGAGAGGGTCAAACATATGTCTAGTTGGAGTAGAAGCAATATTCCAAGAAGAAATGTCTCAGAATTTGCTCAAATAGATGAAAGACATGAATGTTCAGATTTAATGAGTATGAATCCCATGCAGAATGAATAAAAATAAACCCACAATAAGAATGGCATATTGAAACTGCAAAACATGAATGCTAAAGAGAAATTCCTTTTAAAAAAAGAGAGAGAGAAACTAACATAACTCAGTAGCTATAGTGAAGACCAGAAGACAGTGGAATGTTGTGAAAATCCCAAGGGATGAAAATGTTCAACCTAAAATTCTATACTCACATAAACTTCTATACTTTATTCTGTAATCAACAGTACACAAATTAAAGATATTTTAGGCAAATAAATGCCAACATGATTTATAATTCACAGATCCCCACTCGAAAAGATTCAAAAGGATGTACTTCAGTGAGAAGGAAAGTTGAGGGGCACCTGGGTGGCTCAGTTGGATAAGTGACCAACATCAGCTCAGGTCATGGTCTCGTGATTCTTGAGTTCAAGCTCCCCATTGGGCTCTGTGTTGACAGCCCAGAGCCTGGAGCCTGCTTTGGATTCTGTGTCTCCCTCTGTCTCCTTCCCCTGCTTGCTCGCTCTCTCTCTCTCTCTCTCTCTCTAAAAAACAAACAAATATCTAATTTTTTTTTTTAAAGAGAAAGAAAGTTAAGCCAAAGGAAGAGTGCAAATACAAGGGGTGAAGATCAGCTAAACAGTTGTTTAAAATTTAGGTAAGTGTAAGCAAATGTTGGTGGTGAAATTAATAGTAATAATAATAATGACTAATTTAGGATAGTTTAAACCCAAATGGATTGAAAATGCTTGACAAAAATCGCACGTGAACCAGGGTAAATGTGTTCATAGATTTGTTCAAAAAGATGATGCGCACAATAGATCTTGTCAAGATCTTGTTAAATCTTGTTAGGTCAAAGATGCATATTAAAAATCTAAGGGTGCTTAATGCAATGTGTTACTCTGGATTGGATCTCGAAACAAACAAACAAAAAGTACGTAAGTGGAAAAACTGGTAAAATCCAATTAAAATCTAGAGTTTAGTTAATAGTAATGCATCCCTGTTGCTTTGGGGTTTTTTTTTAATTTTAACTAATGTGCCATGGCTTATAAGATGTTAACAGGGAAAACTGAGTGAGGGTTATAAAAAAAAATTCTCTATTTTATACTTGTAACTTTTATGTAAATCTAAAATTATTCCAGAAAAAAATTTTATTAAAAAATAGAGAAAAGATTTTAAATGCAAAGGTAACCACTAAAGACTAGAGCAAGAAAGAATAACCTCCAATTAGAAGGCAGAAATATAAAGAAAACTTGGTAAATCAAAATAGGAGGCAGGCAAGAAGAAACATAAATAAGTATTTAAAAAGCATTATGGATAATAAAAAAAATGAATTGGTAGAAACAAATTTAAATATCGGATCGGGAAACAGATGAACAAAAGGGAAGGGAAGGAAAAGTCAGATAAGAACAGAGAGGGAGGCAAACCATAAGAGACTCTTAAATACAGAAAACGAACTGAAGGTTGCTGGAGGGGAGGTGGGTGGGGGGATGGGCTAAATGGGGGATGGGTTTTCCCAAGTAGGAGAGCATTTGTTGGGATGAGCACTGGGTGTTGTATGTAAGTGATGAATCACTGAATCCTACTTCTGAAATCCTTATTACACTATATGTTAACTAACTTGGATTTAAATAACATTTTAAAACTTAAAAAAGTAATAAAACACATACATACATACATACATGACTGGGGACTAAGTAAGGTAAAAGCAAACATCAGTAAATTACCAAACAGAAAAGATGAGCTAATTAATAACATGAAGATCTAGTTCTTTAATCAAGAAAAAATGAAAAGGAAGAAAGGGAGGGAGGAAGGAAGGGAGGAAGGAAATCATTAGGTAAACAAGTATTTTTTTAAAGAGGAGAAAACAAATACACAAAATTAGAAAATCACCACAAATATAGAAGAAACTTGGAAAGCTATGAAGGCATCTACTCAGCTCTATATAATCAACTTTTTCTTTAAGCACCCAGGTGATAGAATTCTTCCTTTGTCTTCCACATCCTCTCTCTGCCCCCTCTTCCTTGACTTTAATGGACAACATCAAGCCCTCTGGCCTCCCGTCAGTTTTAGGTCCAGCCAATGGAAAGACATGAGAAGAGACTTTTCCCCCAGTTCCCTTCCTCCACCAAAGGACACAGCACATTGGTTTTACTTTTGGATTTAGCAAAGGCAAATTGAAAAGCCAAGAGGCTGATCCCTATATGGGATCACCAAGAGTCCCTATAGGATAACAGGACATCCTCAGGTATTGGACAGACTTGGGGACCAGTTAAATCCACTTCTGTATGTCCTCGTTGTGTGACCTTGGTCGAGTGAGTCCCTTATATCTACCGAATCAGGTGGCTATAAGAGGAAGAAACACACAAAAGAATAGTGGTAATGTATGTAACCCATAGAGATATTTATAAAGGCTCAGGAGAAGAGAAGTCAAGATGGTGGAGAAGTAGGGGGACTGGAATTTCCCTCCTCCCTCAAACACAGCAGTATTGAGGTCAGAACACTTGGAATACCAGGAATACAGGCTGCAGAGTGACAAAAAAAATCTCCAGAGATGGAAAGCAACAGCTTGGCAGGACAGAGGTGCATGTATGCGAATTGGGAGGCATAAAAGGGGTGGTGTAAGCATGGAGTAGGGAACCTCTTCAGTAGAAAAACAAAAGGAAGAGAAAGAGAAGCTGTGAAAGTGTGGGATTGTATTTGGACAAGAGAAAGACCTCTCCAGACCATGGACTGGGGAACGAGAAATATGGAGAGAGCCAGTTTCAACTTTGCAAACAGCCTTAGGAACTAAAGACTGGAGTTATCTGGGGCGGAAGACATTCTCTGGACTGAAGCTGGCCGTGTGCTCATGCCTGGAAAGCAGCCACCCCAGGGCGCGGTAGCAATCTCAGGGGGTGCACTGGGATAGAACAGTCACCTCCCTTGAGTACTGTGGAAAGAGGGTATATTGCCCCCCAACCAAGGAAAAAAGACCCTGCAGGTGCCAGTCAGAGGCCTTTTGTCAGTGGGGCTAGCCAAGAACCAGGTCCATGGGGTGCAGGATCCTTTAAGAAATCGGGTTTTGAATCCCAGTCCAGTGCCTGGGAGACATGGGAGACTGTGGAGCAGGACAAGCCAGCCGCCTGCCCATCCATTCTACTCTGTGAGGGCAGCCTGAACAGCCTGGTTTGAGCCGCCCTGTCCGGGGAGGAGAGATTGGGGTGTGGCCATTTTTCG